TAAAAATTATGATCACAATCTTAAAATAGAAAATTTCCTATCACTAAAACCCTTTTATGATCGGCCCTGGGTAATGGTCTTATCTTTGTACTTTTCCATACTTCTCATTTTAAATATGTGTGTGTGACTTTTATAATCAGAAAAATAAATCTAATAAAATTTAAGATATGCCTACCCTGTAATCTAGCAATTCCATATCTCAGAGAACTATTTGCACATCTGCACAAAAAGAAATATAAGCATTGTATCTTTAATTAAAAATTGGAAATTATAAAAATGATTGGATAAACTGTAGTTTATTCGTATTTCAGAATACTGGCAAAACAACTACAATGTATTTGTGTGATATTTGGGTACATATTTAATTTAAATTTTTAAAGATAAACTTCATTACTCTTAAATCATGCTTTAATAAACTATTTCCTCTGGAAAGATGAGCAGAAATGTCTATCATATGACCTATGATAGCTCAAAACTTCAGTATTTGAATCCCTTCTACATATAAAGCACTAGGACAGAAAACATTTATCAGGAGCCTAATTTGTATCTGGTTCATAATAGGTAATCCATATGTTATCCCATTTAATCCTAACATTAGAATTATCACCATTTTTTCATGAGGAAACTGATGGCAGAAAGCACAGCAATATTATGAGGCAATATTCAAACTCAGATCTGCCTAACTCTGAAACTCAAATTTCTCTTAAAGAAAAACCAAAATAGGGCTTCCCTGGTGGCGCAGTGGTTGGGAGTCCGCCTGCCGATGCAGAGGACACGGGTTCGTGCCCCGGTCCGGGAGGATCCCACATGCCGCGGAGCGGCTGGGTCCATGAGCCATGGCCGCTGGGCCTGCACGTCTGGAGCCTGTGCTCCGCAATGGAAGAGGCCACAGCAGTGAGAGGCCCGCGTACGGCAAAAAAAAAAAAAGAAAAACCAAAATAGATATCCCTTTAATCCACTTCCAGCTAAACAACTCTACTTCAAATTCTTAAGCTTTCAGATGTCCAAATGACCCCATTTTCATCCCAATTGGAAAATATGATAAATATATAAACTATAAAAAGTAATTTTAAATAGACTAAAAGTTTAATTATAAATTATGATTTAAAGATCAGAAAGTCTTACTGTTTTTAAATATATAAGTTAAACATAATTCACATACTCTAAAAGTAAGTGTTCTCAGCCACTATTATAAAAATAGTGTTTTATGAGAAAACATACTGAAATGAAGTATTTTTTTAAATGAAGTATTTTGAAGTTGTCACCATCAAAAAGCATTTACTACAATATTTACACTGAGACATAATCATAATTAAGAAACAAATGATTATATAAGTTATATTACACACAGAAGTTGCTGAAACAAAGAATCTAAGAGAAGTGAACAGAAGGAACAGAAGACAGGACCTAAAAAGAACAGAGTAAAAGCAATGGTAATGACCAAAGAAAGGCCCTATTTCAAATCCTCTGATATCCCTCGAGAAATTATTTCTAGAAGAAATTCAAAAGCCATTCCCAGCCCCTCCCCCCACCACACACAGGGATCTCCTTCTAGCACCCTACCGTAAAATACGGTGTTGCTGCAATGCAGTTATGTACAATTAAAGTAGCCACTGGAGATTTAAAAGTTAACCTGGAGAGTTTAGGCCAAGAAATGACTGTAACGTTTTTCCTATATAGAGGAAAAAGTATCTATATTGAAGATCAGCTTTCTGCATTCTCCAAAATCAAATTCAATTCATAAAAATAAAGTAGAATTATTAGCAGACCATTGGATGCATAAAATAGGTATACTAAAATAGTATGAAGGTTTTTACCTACCATATAAACACAAACATAAAACTAGATTTTTATTGTTCAAGATCACATGAGGATGTTTAGATTATTTTAATAAAGTATTTTATAATAGCACTAAACCATTTCATCATGTAATAAATAGTCTTCTAAAGTTTCTACTGATGGGACTTCCCTGGTGGTCCAGCAGTTTAGACTCAATGCTTCCACTGCAAGGGGCACAGGTTTGATCCCTGGTCAGGGAACTAAGATCCAGCATGCCACACAGTGCGGCCAAAAATAAATAAATAAATAAAATAAAGTTACTACTGACAACAGATTCAATGTTTCCTTCCTGTTTCGCTGGCTTTAGCCAAGGAAGGGTCCCCCTGCACCCATTCATATTCAACGCCTAGTATTCCCAAATCTCGCCTTTGAGAGATCATTCCACCTCCCCACAAAATGCCCTTAAAAAGAAAGCAAAGGGCTTCCCTGGTGGAGCAGCACTGCAAGGGGCACAGGTTTGATCCCTGGTCAGGGAACTAAGATCCAGCATGCCACACAGTGCGGCCAAAAATAAATAAATAAATAAAATAAAGTTACTACTGACAACAGATTCAATGTTTCCTTCCTGTTTCGCTGGCTTTAGCCAAGGAAGGGTCCCCCTGCACCCATTCATATTCAACGCCTAGTATTCCCAAATCTCGCCTTTGAGAGATCATTCCACCTCCCCACAAAATGCCCTTAAAAAGAAAGCAAAGGGCTTCCCTGGTGGCGCAGTGGTTGAGAGTCCGCCTGCCGATGCAGGGGACATGGGTTCGTACCCCGGTCCAGGAAGATCTCACACACCGCGGAGCGGCTAGGCCCGTGAGCCATGGCCGCTGAGCCTGCCCATCCGGAGCCTGTGCTCCGCAGCGGAGGCCACGGCAGTGAGAGGCCCGCATACCGCAAAAAAAAAGAAAAAGAAAAAGAAAAAGAAAGCAGAATAACCAATTTAAAATCATATGTCTATCTATTATCTAATCACTTCCCTCTTTGACATGTGAAAAATTAGCATTCTTACCCCCATTACTCGCTTCCCCTAGCTTCAAAACAAAATTATTACTGTTTTAGTCAATAGTGTATATATTTTTGAAAGCCTATTTTAAATATCAGCAAGTTTTCCCCATTTGTCATTATGGCATCAGTGTTCTTAGAAGTAACTCTTTAAAGCTAAAAAAAAAAAGCAAAAATTATAGCTAACCATTTATACAATTGTTTTAATGATTTTATTTTAATTTATTTATTTAACAAACATACATATAGTGTTACAATATGCCAGGCACTACTGCTCAGAGTGCTTCCATATATTAACTCATTCAATCATCATCATAAACCCAGGCATTAAGTACTATTATTACCTCCATTTTACAGGTGAGGAAATTGATGCATGGAGAAATTGGTACCTATCCAAAGTCACACTACTAATTGGTACAGAAGCCAGATTCAAACCCAGACACTCTACTTCCAGAGTAAAACTCAGAAGCAGTACACTAAACTACCTAGGGACTTCCCTGGTGGCCCAGTGGTAAAGAATCCTCCTTCCAATGCAGGGGACGTGGGTTCGATCCCTGGTTGGGGAACTAAGATCTCACATGCCGCGGGGCAATTAAACCTGCATGCCACAACTACTGAGCCCACACACTGCAACTACAGAGCCCGCGCTCTCTAGGGCCCACACGCCAAAACTAGAGACGAGCACGGGCCACAATGAAAGATCCCACATGCCACAACAAAGATCCCACGTGCCGGAACTAAGACCCAATGCAACCAAATAAATAAATAAATATTTCAAATAAATAAATAAACTGCCTATCCAATTTGTTGAAAACTCTTTAAACTTGTTAGTCCAGGGACTTCCCTGGCGGTCCAGTGGTTAAGACTTCGCCTTCCGATGCAGGGGGTGTGGGTTCGATCCCTGGTTGGGGAACTAAGATCCTACACGCCTTGCGGCCAAAAACCAAAACATAAAACAGAAGCAATATTGTAACAAATTCAATAAAGACTTTAAAAATAAATAAATAAAATTAAAAAAAAATAATAAATGAAATAAAATTGTTAGACCAAAATGAGACTCCACAAAATGTTGCATTTTGTGGGAGCCTTCTTAGAGGGGAAATATACTACTACAAAGTTTAAATTATAAGGCATTAGATCAATTGTAAGACTTCCATAAAAGAAATCATGTTTTCAAAAGAAGGATATTTGGCTTAGTTCATATGATATTATCAAATCAAAATGAGTTTTCAAACGAAAAACATGTAAATGTTTAAATGTTTAACAACGATTTAGTTTTTAAAATTTCAATCATTAAATATATAAATCAATAAAAATATGAAATTTAGGTTTTATAGAAACCAAGATTATAAATAGATATAAGTCAAAAACCAGTATTTGCTTACAAATTGTATACTAACAAAATACAGGAACGTTATAAGGAATTTATTAGAAATATTTATTATTAATAAACACTATAAAAGTTGAAATTTCAAATTGACATTCTATTTCCCAGTACATTGCTTTTTTTTTTCTTTTTTTTTTTTTTGCGGTACGCGGGCCTCCCACTGTTGCAGCCTCTCCCGCTGCGGAGCACAGGCTCCGGACGCGCAGGCTCAGCGGCCATGGCTCACGGGCCCAGCCGCTCCACAGCATGTGAGGTCTTCCTGGACCGGGGCACGAACCCGTGTTGCCTGCATCGGCAGGCGGACTCTCAACCACTGCGCCACCAGGGAAGCCCCTATTTCCCAGTACATTGCTTTTTTTTGATAACCTTTGACATATAAGATATAACCTTATTATGAGATTAGAAAAGAAGCTACATTTCACATTCTTCTAGCAAATTATTCTAGACTTAGCTAAATTTTTTAACAACAATTTCATTGTGCATATGAAAACTTGGATAAATTTGGGGATATTTTCATTGGAGAAATATCTTTATGTCTTTCTATCTCCCATTTCTAGACTGTGAAAAGAGAAATGAATTTACAAACAAGAAGTAAAAATCTAGTTGTAGTTCTCGTCCTGTCACTAAGTAACTGTGTGACCTTGACTAAGTTATTCCACTCTGGGGTTCAGCATCCATGTTTATAAAATGAGGAATTCCAACCAGATAATACCCACAAATCTGTATGGTAGTTCTTAAACCTTTAAAATTCTACTTTTAAAAAGTTTCAAATGTTAAATCTCACCTCATCTGAAGAATCTAGTTGTCCCAATGTTCCTGTTGCACCTGCAAAACCTTTGGAAAGGAGAAAAAAGGTTGCCCTTCATAATTGTTATATATTGCTTTACTTTAAAATTATTTTGAGACATAACAATATCAAAAAACTAAGTTTTGTTAAGACAACTCATTCTAACAGTTATTTTGGCAGAATTCAACATTTATCTTTAATAAATTTGAGCCTAATAGGCTTATACTTCAATAGGAAATCTCCAGTGGAAACTCAGATTTAATAACTACACATGGTGTTTCAGAAGGATTGCTTTCTTTTACTTTTAAACCATGGTTTACTAAAATATTGAACTACTAAACTTTGGGGCTACTCTCAAATAGCAACTGCTATATTTTTCATGAGTTAGAACCAGAACCTCTGATAAACTAACCGAATTTTGCTTAAGAAAAATGAAATATCTTCTTTGATGACTCTATCCTTTCTTGCTTCCAAATTTTTACTACTTTCACTACTTTCTTACAAAGAATGACACAGCACTTAAATTTCTTCAATAATGAGTAATGTTTGAAGGGTTTTTTGTTTTAGTACAGAAAAGTTATCATTGTTCAAATTAAATATTTAAACAAACCTTGAACTGCCAGAGTGCTAGTGCCAGCAGATGGTTCTTGTATACCATATACAAGTTTATCTTCAGGATATGTAAGTCCAGAGCTCTTCAAAGCTATAAGGTATTTTTCATGACTTTTCCTTGCATAAGCATTTTCTCCAAGACCTAATATTTAAAATAAATGTAAAATCAGAAAAAATATTCCATTCAAAACATAAGTACAGCCATCTCAATAACTAATGTATACACATATAAAATAGATGAATATTCTAATGGAGGGGAAACCCTAGAATGAATAATATAAGATAGCTTCAGACAACATTTTTGTGCTCATGTTTGGCATTAACAATCTCAGAATGCACAGCATGTTTATAACAAATAATGAAATCCACTAACTAACTGGGCATCTAGAATATGCCAGAGATTACATACAAAATACAGGGGGTGCAAAGATTAATAAGACATGATTCCTGCCTTCAAGGAACTTAAAATTGCTGTAAAGAAAGGCATATGATATGGTAAATGACAATTACATAGCAGACTTCACCATCTGGTTTAACAACCTGTGCTCTCATAATACCATGAGCCAGACTTAACCCAAAGCAGTTTTTGGAAAGGCATACTAGAGAAGATAATGCCTGAGTGGAATTTTCAAACAGTAACGGAGATTACTAATTTCTGTTTTACCAAGCATAAAATGTTTTTATAATCACATTTAAGGATAAAAGTATAATTTCTACAGAAGTATCAGTTAAAACAAATTTATTCCAAAATTTTGAGAAGTTTAGGTCCTAGAATTAAACAATCCTAGGTCTTTCACTTTAGCATTTGAGCATATTAATGCCAATTTTGTCTTTCGTTTTTTAATATATTATGGAGAATAGAATAACAATAAAATAAAAATACTGACATTTGTAAGTTCTTTAAAAGGAAAAAATTATTCTCTGTCTGAAAGCCAAGTTACTATGTCATTTGCCACCTCTTAAGCAGATTATATATCTTTAATTAAGGTTTCAATCTCTCTGATTATAAAAATATATAGTAAATTAGTTTCTTTAGTATTTGCTGAGCTTTTCTCAATTTCCTCTCTTTGCTAGCCTCAATAATTGCAATAGATTAGTTTTGTTTTTCAGATCTCTGCCCAATGTCTGTCTGGGATAGTTTAAAAAAAAAACAAAAAACAGGGCTTCCCTGGTGGCGCAGTGGTTGAGAGTCCGCCTGCCGATGCAGGGGACATGGGTTCGTGCCCTGGTCCAGGAAGATACCACATGCCGCGGAGCGGCTAGGCCCATGAGCCATGGCCGCTGAGCCTACGCGTCCGGAGCCTGTGCTCCGCAACGGGAGAGGCCACAACAGTGAGAGGCCCGCGTACCACAAAAAAAAAAAACAAAAAAACCTCCAGCACAGATTAAACAGATAGGAATACATCTATCCTTCAATTCAAGTCCAAAACTAAAAACAACCAGTTAGTCTGTAAAGAATAAAGGACTTCTAGGGGTCCTATGTAAGAAATGACTAAATGTCTCCTGAATAATAAAAGCCATGTATTTATCTCAACAATAATAGATGAAATTTTTGTAATACTTTTAATTAACAAAATACACTTCATCAACCCCTCACAACAAGCCTGAGAAAAATGAACATATTATCACCATTTTTATAAGTGAGGAAACTGAGGCTTACAAAGATAACATAATAACCAGTGAGTAAGCAAGCAGTGATTAGAAATGAACCTAGACTACAAATTTTAAACTTTTGAATCAAACCTAATGTAATTTCCATCACTACAAGTTAGCTAAAGATTTTTGTTGTTCTGTTTTTTAATTTCAAGAAATAAGAATTTAAAAGAATTGTAGAACTAAAAGAAGACAATTACCATAAATCATTCTCAAGGAATACATTCTTACAATGATTAAGAACAACTTGCTGTTCTTTTTCCCAACAGTTGATAGTTTCTGATTACAGAACCATTTTCTAGGTTGAAGAAATAACAGACCTTCAGGTATAATTCTGATCTCTCTCTAGCATCATCACCAAAACTCAAACACAAGTTACCATCATTTTATCCTAGGCTGCTGCACTTGAGCTTCTGTTCTTGCCCCTTCCCATCTATTCTTGGCAAAATAACAAGCCATCTTTTTAAAGCACATATCTGATCATGTCACTCTTCAGATTAAAATATACCCATGACTTCCCACTACATTCAGGATAAGATATAAAACCTTAAATAGCTAACAAGGGCCTACCTAATCTGGATCAAGCCTAATGTGGTAGCCTTATTTTGGGCCACTATCCCCCTACATTCATTTCATTTCAACCACAATAGCCTTTTTTAGTCCCTTTTAAAAAAGTAAGCTCACTCTCACCCTAAATATTTCCACATGCTGGTCCCTCTGCATGGAATCTAGGAGGTGCCTAAGTGTTATGTTCTTTATAAATATTTATCATGTTTGGGGTTCATTAAGCATCTTGAATCTATAAATCAATGTTTTTCATCCAATTTGGGGAATTTTAGTCATGATTTTTTCAAATTTTTTTTCTGCCCCATTCCCACTCTCCTGTCCTCCTGGGAGTCCAATTACATGTACATTAGGTCATCTGATTCTATCTAACAGGTCCCTGAGGCTCTGTTGTGTTTTCTCTCTGTTCTCTAGATTGAATAATGTATTAATCTGTCTTCAAATTCACTGTCTTTCTTCTATCCTCTCCAAACTGCTGCTAAGTCCATCCAGTGAACTTGTCAATTGCATTCTACAATAATTGTCAGTTCTATAATTTTTTTGTTATTGTTTACATTTCTTCACTAAGATTCCTGATCTCTTCACTCATTAACACCATATTTTCCTTTACTTATTTGAATATATTTTCCTTTAATTTCTTCAACATATTTATAATAGTTGCTTTAATGTCTTTATCTGCTAAATCTAACACCTAGGCCATTTCAAGGTCAATTTCTATTACTGTCCTTTTTCTTGGACATTCTAACGACATGTTATCAAAGATTCTGGATTCTGTTACCTTCCTTTGAAGAGTATTAATTTTAATTCTACAAGACATTCAATAAACAGTCTGATCACCTAGAACTCATAAAGACTTGGTTTTATACTTTGTAAGGGGCAGATTTATAGAAAGCCTGAGATTCTTAAAAAAGCCCTGTAAATTGACAGGAATAATCTCCAAACTCTGTCAGGGTTCTAGGCTTCATTAAGACTGATATAGAGTAGAACTTACTCTCAGGTGTGGTCTTCTGGTGTGTCAACTTGATGCCTAGGGTATTGGTAAGGTCTCTCTAGTCTGGTTGCACTGATACTCCAATGTCTCCCAACACTGCCTAACCTTTATCTTTAAAAGCTGCTTTTAACCCCACAGCATTAACCCCACAGCACTCTCTAATAAGCCTTAGGTAGTCTCATCCTGTACATGTGTATCTCAGTTCTCAGCCAAGCACTTTTAGGGGTCCCTCATACATCTACCCCACAAACTCTTGCTATTCTGCCCCAAAGATTCCAGTTTCCAACTGCTTCAGCTGCCCTAAACTGTGACCTCTTAACTCAGCTGGACCACCATGCTCTGCTTCAATGCCAGCCCTCTATACTACAGTCAGGAAGTTATCCCCAGACAGAGATTCAGAGAATTGTGAGGCTCATCTCATGCTTTTCCTTTCTCCCAAAGGTTTACAGTCTTGTGCTGCCTGCTGTCTAATGTCTGAAAACAACTGCCTCACATTTTTTCCAGTTTTATGTTATTTATGACATAACGGCTAGTCCAGTAGTCAGAAGCAGAAAATGTTCTCTACCCAGAATCTAACTCCACCCCATTACCACCCAACTCGCCACAACCTCTAGCTAAATGAGTTTCTCTCAATGTTTTACTTCAAATGTCACTTCCTCAGTGAAGCTCTCCCACCTCCTCCATCAGTGAAATCAGGTCTCCCTTTTATACATACTTGTCCTATCCCTTCACAGTTATTTACTACAGCTTATACTTACACAATTTTTTGGTTTGGAGACTTTGTTAATGTCATCTCACTCACTAGACCATAAGCTTTATAAGGGCAGAGATAGGACTACCTGGCTTACTACATACCTTCCCTACTCCAAGCTCTAATACCTAGCCCAAAGCCAAGCACACAGTCGGTGCTTAATGAGTACTCACTAAAGAAATAAATACATCAGATAAGACTATCTCTAAATAATATGTGGTTAACAGTACACATAAAAACTTCACCACTCTAAAGAAAGAAGATATACTTCAATTTTCAAAACAGGCTGCTCATGAGCCAGCATAAAGAACACTATTTAAACTATTTATAAGATTTTTAAATAATTGATATATTTACCATACTATAAACTTGAACTAAAGGTTTAAAAATGAAATTATTTTATATAACAGTACAAATATACTTAATAATTGCAAGTTTTATTAACTTAAACTCTACATCACTATAAAATCCTAGGCCACACAACACAAACGTTTAGAATAACAAAAATGAAGACACAAAAGTGGTTGCTGTTATTGTTTGGAGAAGGGGAAGTGGAATATAATTACGAATATGTCACACCAAATTTAGGAAACCTGGGTTCGAGTCCCAACTCTAAAATCAGGTAGTTGTGAGGTCTTGAACTGGTCATTTAATTTTTCTGGGGTTCAATTTCTTCATCCATAAACTAAGAAGTATTCTTAATAACTTCCAGCTTTAGCATTCTATTTTAAAAAATCTACATTTTACTTTTAAGTTCTAAAATACACAACTTTTAAATTATTTTAGTAATATAAGTAAATTTTAACTTTCTTCTCTTCTAAATTTTACTCACCAGAAGTCAGATCTTTGTAGCTTTGTTGGTTTGTCAAAACCTGAGTAAGAACAGACCTCATTGCTCCTCCCATTTTAGTTAGATCTTCTAAAAAGGAAATTTGAGGTTCCAAAAGCTGAAGGACTTTGTTAAGGTCTTTTTCTGATGGTACATCAGCTGCTAAAAAAAATATAATCAACTTTCTTTAAAATATTTTGGTAAGAACAATATTTTATTCTTTAAAATTATGATGACTTAGATGACAGTATTTTATAATCAAAAAGTTGATATAAGAATTCTCTTTAGAAAGCAGGAGCCTACCAAGCACCCAGCCTAGGATAGACTTGTTTAGGAAGTCAGTCCTCTGAGAAAAGACTGATGGGGAAAAGAGATGACTTCATAAGGTATTAAGCACTTAATTTGTGTAAGAAGCATTCAACTTAGGGTCCTAAACTTCCAGATATATATATATATATATATATATATATATATATATATATGTAATCATAAGATCATCTCAAAATTAATAAAAAAGTTAAGATCACTCTCTAAAATAAAACAGGAGAAGTGAAATATATTGAGATAGTATAAGAATATTAGGACAAAATTATGTCAGCTTTAAATTTAAACCTGTGTAGCAAATAACCCATCCACTATCATATTCCAAAAATACAGATTCATATTAGCTAGAGGTCAAAGCAACTAAAATGAAAAATATGTTTTTACTAAAACAATTTTAAAATACCAGGCAAGATATGCTGGTAGAGGGGGAGAGAAGAAACCTGGACAGCAACTAAAAAAGAATATTTAAGAGGAAAAGAAAAAAAAGATGTTTTAGAGAAACTGAGGTCTAAAAGGAAGAAGTGAATAGAGAGATTTAGAGCTTAGCCATAACTGGTTAAAAGAAGAATACATATAACAAAGGTAACAGGGGGCCTTTGTGCCCAGGAAAGGGGTCATCAAGTTCATTCAATATTTATTCAGTATCTACTACACGACAGGCACTGAGAAGCAGAACTAAATAAGACATAGTTCCTACCGCCAAGGAACTCACAACCTAGTTCAAAGATAACCTGTGAATGAAATTCTAGATAACTCTGAGTCATGGGACCCAAGCCAAGAAACCTTACTTTCTCAGTAGAAAACCAATACCATATATTATTCTTCTTTATATTCTCCCCAATGACTTATGTAGTAACATAGTAGATATTTAATTAGCATTTGTTCTTGATTTCCAAGGGCTCTAACACAAGCTCTGACACTGGTCTAAGGATGGTAGGGTGAAATGGGAAATGGAATTCAAGGCAACTGTCAAACCACAAGATTATCTGAGCTTCCATATATCAGATTAGATGATTTCAAGTCCTTTCTTTAATTTTAAACAGTGATCTCTGCAGAAAGTAATGCAGAGATTTTGCATACACAGAAGAAATTAATGCTGAGCACAAGTGGTAATATAGAGAGGGAAACTTCATGAACCTAAGTTCATGAAACTCATCTTAAGACAAAAAAAATACTTCCATTCATTCCTTTATGTTTTCAGATAATGGTAACATAATTATCAAAGCTATGTACGTATGTCATTTACCACTTATAACTGCTAAATGTCACCAAGGAAAAAATAAATATAATACACTCGTATGAATTACTCTTTGATTAAACTAATGGTAAGCTTTATGGTTCTCATAATAAATGATTTCTACCTATTACTTTTCTAAAATAGGACACTTGTAGTACAAAATGTAAACATCCAAAAAATCTGTTAACTAGCATATGAGAAATAAAATGGAAGGCAATTTCAATAACCCAGCTGGTCTCCACTTCCTTCATTCCAAAGAGAGTGCAGTTTGGGACTAAATCAAAATAATATTTCTTTCTATATTTTAAGACATACTCTGAGAGGAACAGAAGTACTTGACAAAAGATTGTATATTTTGCTTAAAATGTAAAAGTGAAGAACTATAAGTATTCGCTCACAATGCAAATAACACGATAGTTCTAGAAATGATGAAGATATGTATTTCTTCACACTTTTAGGATGGAAAATAGAAGATAAACATGTGTGCCATAGTTTCAAATTGGATTTAAGATTTATAGAATTAAATAATTTAAAAGCTCTAAAAGTAATGCAAATGCAGTCCCTTAAATGATAAAAATGCAAGTGTCATTAAAAAGGTAAAAGACATCATAAAAAGTAAATAAATTTGTTTCATACCACTAATTGATATCTGTAATTCACAATGTCAGACTGAGAACTTTAATAAATGTTATCTAAATACAAATATTTAACTAATGCATATTAATCAAGATTGTGACTAAATCTTAAAAGGTAAGAAGAATATCTGTAATTTGCATGTTTCTTTTCTCTTTTCGATACTATTAGGATGCTTACGCCCATGCATTCTACCAGTAATATGGGAGTGAGCAATTTGACCCTCTCATAAGTTATATATATATGGAGGGGAATAAAAATGTATAGACCTCTACAAAAAAGAGGGGGAGAGAGGGGGAGAGAAAGATATTGGTGAAATTTTTATCTTCTAAAAATCTAAGTTAAAGTCAAACATTTCCAGGACTTCTTAATTATGCTCTATTATAACAGAATCATGAATAAAGTCACTTTAACCCCATAAAATAATTATTTCCTCATCTGCAGAAGGCCAAATAAGTTTGATCAGAAACATTTTTATGATCCCTGCGGCAGAGACTGCCAAACTGTGCCTACTACAAGTAACAATGAGGTTATATAATTGATATTTAGTGTGTTTTTATTTAGTCTCTGTATTTCATAGTCATCACATAAAAAATGTTAAGCAAAAAAATGGTATCCGAAAAAATTCACCTCATTATTAGTGCTAAACTTTGCTGAGAACTTAAAAAGAGTACTAACAAAAAGTGGATTAAACATACCTGGTTCATTATAGCCTTCTCTTAAGTACTGAATAAGACAAAAAATAAATCTTGGAAGAACAAATTCAGACATCATCAGTAAGTCTTTGGGGACACAGGGAATATTTGAACTTGATTTAATTTGATGCCTTTTGCAAAACCTGTAATATGAAAAAGAAAAGAATTAATGGCGATGTTGAATCTGCTAAGAATCTATTACTTCTATTTACAATATCCATAAACAGAATGTGGGCCAATATCAAAGCCAATGTATTACTCTTTTATGATTTTTAAGGCACCAAGTTAAAAGAATATAGTTTTAATTGGTCTTTAAATAAAAATTGTCACTTAGGAAGATTTCTTCCTAATAAAAGACCATTCTAGTTAGATTCCAATTAGAATACAAAAACAAAATCTCATTACAGAGTTTATATTTTTTAACTACAATTTATTACTTGCAAGTATTACTTTATTACTTTTACCCTTTATAAACCATTAAGTACAAATTGATCATTCCCAAGAATTTGCATTTTCTATTCCTTAACTGTTTCAAACTTATTGCATTAATGAATAGATAAGTAATATCAATACTTAAAGTTTATTTGAAAAGTTTATACACTTAAGTATGCACATTCCTTCTAATCTTATTTATACTTATTTTAAAGTATGGTTGGAATATTTGAGCAAAAATGAAATAAACTATTCTATGTTCACAATCCAAACAGTCACAAATAAGGTATTTTGTGACCAAACACAAAATAACCACACTAAACATACAACATACCTAGAAAGAAACTTATTACGATGGGTGGAGAAACTATTTTAGCTGAAAAACGTAAGAGATCTGAATAGAGAAAAACTACATTTCCAAATGGAAAAACTTTTATTTTTCTAAAAACAAACACTTCCACCAAACTTAATGACATTAGATTTAAATCCCAATGGGACTAATCACAAACTAATTCTAAAGTTCAAATGGAAGAATATATGTTAAAAAAAAAAAAAACTTAAAAAAAAAAAATAATGACAGTGACCTAGACTTTAAAGCATAGTATAAAGCTAACATAATTTAAGATCTGTAGTAATCTCTCTATAATGACCTATATGGGAAGATAATCTAAAAAAGAGTAGATATATGTATATGTATAACTGATTCACTTTGCCGTACAGCAGAAACTAACACAACATTGTAAATCAACTATACTCCAATAAAGATTTTTTAAAATTAAAGTAGGGTAGAAGACTTTCAATAAATTGCTATAGGACAATTGATTCCATGCAGGAGATAAATTTGATCCTTATCTTACACCATATACAAACTATTATATATTCCATACAGATCAAAAATCAAATGTGAAAAAAATTACTAGGAAGAAAATAAACTATTCCCCTATATTATCTCAAAGAACAGAAGTCTAATAAGTAAGATTTGAAACCAAAAGTCATAAAAGAAAGATAAAAATTGGCTAGATAAATCAAAAGTTTCTATGCAGAAAACAATTATTGTGTTACCAAAAACTATTTACAATAGATAAAACAGATGAAAGATTAATATCTATGATTTTTGACTCTAGAAAAATAGATTAAAAAAGAAAATAATTCAATAGAAAAATCAGCCAAAGTCATAAACAATTCACCAAAAAAGTGAATGGCTAAGAAACATATGAAAAGATGCTCAAGTTCTCTAATAATCAAAGAAATGAAGTTTATTAAAATAAAAAATTAATAAATAGAGAATCACCATTTTGTGATACCTACTAAAATAAGTGACCCATGCAATGGAGCCATTAAAAGGAAGGCTTGAGGGGAAATTTTCCACTTAGAGATCAGACTGTTACAACCTTATCAATCTCAGTATCATTAGAAGTGAGAAAAAATCAGATGCTATGATGCTTGTGAAGTACAGAGCACCATTTACAAAGAGTTTTTACCAAACAAGTTGACCTTGAATGACACCAAGTCTCTAGAGCTAACTTCCATTTATAGGAAACATAAGAGATAAAGGAACAAGTTAAATGACACCACAAAAATAAATAAATAGACAAATCATGAATGTAGACCATTATACAGGACAACTGACTCCGTTTCTGCAACCTGTCCGTGGCAGGGAGAAAAAGGAGGTGGAAGGATCACTTATTAAAGAGGCCTGAGAAACCCAATAACCATGTGTTTACTGATTCTAACAAACCAACTTGAAACAGGCATTTTTTAGACAATAGGGGAAGTCCAATTAAGAACTGGGTACTAGTTCGTTAGATGATTTTATTAGGTAAGATAATGGCACTGTGATTATGTAAGAAAATGTTCATGGATATTTGATAATATTAAGGAATTATCTTGTGTAGGTATGACAACAACATTGTGGTTATCATTGAATAGGAAAGTCTTGTCTTTTACATGTATCTATATAAATATTTATGAATAAAATGCTACAATGTATGGGACTTGTTTCAGAATAATCTGGTTGGGTGAAGGGAAGTAACTGGGAGTATACCAAGCCCAGCTTGAGTTGTTAATTGTAGAAACTGGGAGACTGATAAGGGGTTTTCTTATATTACACTCATTAAGCAGAATGTGGGGCAATATCAAAGCCAGAAAAGTACCACTCCCCTCAGATTTTTAAGGCACCAAATCAAAAGAATGTAGTTTTAATTGGTCCTTAAAAAACATCACCAAACGGAACTTCCCTGGTGGCGCAGTCATTAAGAACCCGCCTGCCAATGCAGGTGACACAGGTTCGAGCCCTGGTCCAGGAAGATCCTACATGCCACGGAGCAAATAAGCCCATGTGCCACAACTACTGAGCCTGCACTCTAGAGCCCGTGAGCTACAACTACTGAGCCCATGTGCCACAACTACTGAAGCCCACGAGCCTAGAGCCCGTGCTCTGCAACAAGAGAAACCACCACAATGAGAAGCCCACGCCCCGCAACAAAGAGTAGCCCCTGCTCACCACACTAGAGAAGACCCAACACAGCCAAGAAAATAAATAAATAAATAGAACCAAAGGAGTTTTTTCCTAATAAAATGTCATATCAGTTGGGTTATACTCACTGCTTTTATATGTCTGAAATTTTCTGTACTAAAAAATTAAAAATTTTTTAAAAGAAAGGAAATATTCATATTTTTTAAAGATGAATACTGAAGTGTGTCACACAGTGTTTGGGATTTGTTTGAAAATACTTTAGCAAAAGAGAAAAAAGGGCAAATGAGGCAAATGTGGCAAAAATCTTGATAAACATTGAGTCCAATGATGGGTATATGGAGGTTCAATGTTCTGCTGTCTCTACCTTTGTGCATGGTTGAAATTTTTGGTAACAAAAACATGTTTTTTCATCTTGCAGGTTAGGGAAAATTCACTTTACTAATTCATTGTTGGAAAACATGTTCAGAAATTCTTTATCATACACATGGAAGTGTAAATAGATCCAGTTTTGGGTGTCATTTTGACAATATCTACTAAACCTTAATGTGTTCATAACCCTAGCTTAGCATTTCTATTTCTAGTAATTTATTATACAGAAATAATCCTAAATTTGCAAGATATATCTACAGATATATTCACTGTACCACAGTTTGCAATGCAAAAAAGTTAGAAACAACTCACGTGTTCAGTAACAGAATAAAGATTAACCAAATTAGAGTAGATCAATAAAATACTTTGCATTTATTAAAAAGAATGAGGGAGATCAACAAGTACTGAAATAGAATTATACCCAAAATAAATGAGAAAAGAATTACATAGCATATATATATATATATATATATACACACACACACACACACACACACACACACACACAGAGATATACACACACATATATAATAATCTCTTTTATAAATAAAATTTTGGAGAAAGAATAGAAAAAAATATTAATATATGTTAGGAGAAAAATATTTAGAGAAATGTACACCAAATTTTGTGGAAATTAACTGAAAGTGGGTTATAGCATACTTTTACTTTCTACATTAATTCCACCTACAATGTTTGAATTTTGCATGGCAAATTATATGTAAAACTGTGTAATCAAAACAAAAAAAAATTACTCCAAAAACAATAAGTTATGCCATTCATTTGGCTTTATTTCCACAGTTTGAACATTAACTCTTAACCTTTTTTGACTCATGGACACCTTTGAGAATCTAATGAAAGTTATAACTCTTTCTTAAGAAAAATATACACAGGTGGTCCAGTGGGTAAGACTCTGCACTTCCAATGCAGGGGGCCCAGGTTCGATACCTGGTCAGGGAACTAGATCCTGCATGCATGCCGCAACTAAGAAGTCCGCATGCCTCAACTAAGAGTCTGCATGCCACAACTAAGAAGGCTGCATGCTGCAATGAAGATCCTAAGTGCCACAACCAAGACCTGGTGCAGAATGAATGAATAAATAAATAAATAAATAATTTAAAATATATATATATATATACACAACCGAAAAAAATAAAACCAAGTGTTCACATACTACTGACGTCTATCTACTCTTAAGACAGAGCTTCCGAACATCAGGTCAATAGATTACAGTGTAGAGACATGAATTTCATCAGTCCTCAGGCTGACAGACCAGGAGGGTCTGGGCAGCCTCCTCAGTTGTCTGTGTGTCCCATCCAAATATCATTTTCATATTTAACATATAATGAAAAAAATTAGAAAGTATTACACCTTAAAGTCCAAATCTTTATTTAAAGGGAAATAGAAATTTAAGAATTTCTTTCAGATGGGGTACACAAAATCTAAGTAAAATCAAAGAAATTTTAAAAATCCTACTCTATTTTTAAAACCTTTAAAGATTAAAAAAAAAAAAGAATCGGCTCTGTGAAACCTGTGGTGATCTAAGATAATTTAACTGAAGTGCTTACAAGCATGAATGTTGAATGTGAAGGAAAGAAAAAGGATAAAAGGAAAGCCAGAAGAGAAGGGAAAACATATTGGGGCACAAAGACTAAAGGATACAATGAAAAAGCAGGAAGAGAGAAAAGATTAGATAAAGGAGGGCACAGAAAGCTCTCTTAGACACTTTCTGTGTAGGAAAGAAATTAATTCAAAAAGACAGAGAGTGAAGAACATTTGAACAGTGTGCAGTGGGTTCAAGGAGTAACAATTCAACCTGGAACTAAGCTGAAGGAGCAGCAAGAATGGTCTAAGCAACCTAGGGACTGA